GGGCAACCAATGAACTCTGGCTTATGAGCCTCATAAGGCAGCACCAGAGCAGGTTTTTCCTTTTCCTTTGCARCCACATACCGATGGGAAGAGAGAAGCATGAGTATTGGCCACGAGAGGTTGTCAGCACACAAGCTCTGCGGGGAATTGGGCTGAAAGGAGAAACTCATTGGTCTGAAAGGCAGTTTTTCAAAAACACTTGATGGTCTCCAACTGTGCCCAGTGGAGTTTAGTTTGGCCAGTGGTAACTGTTTGTGAAAAGATCCCTCCCTGAAGTCTCACATGTTAATGGAAAGCAGACACGGAGGGTATGTAAATGCAGACGAATTAGAAACAAACAGCTCTGGTCAACCGAGGCATCATTTCCTTTGCTCCGAAGTCAAACAAGGTCACAGCGAGTCAACTGCGACACACGCGTCAGGCGCACAAGTGATCTCAGCAGCTCTGGGGAGATTACTCATGGGCTCAAAACTCAGCCTAGGCTGGRGCTTGCAGCTGAGCACAAATTCTACCCAACTCTCTCTTCTCAGCCCCAGGAAACTCGCTCTTACTTGAATTCTCAATGGCAAAATGAGGATATAGCATTAAATAAATAGACAAATCGCTCAAAATATGGGAAGAAAAAATTCCATATGGGCTTAGCGAACACTGGAAATGATATTGAGAGAGGAATAGTTATCTCAGTTTAAACTCGTGAACCTGAAATGTATCCTGGGAAACATACAACACAGGGTAGGAAACAAAAAGTAAAGAAGCAGGGGAATGTTCTTGTCTGCAGGAGATAAGTTAACGTGCCAATATTTCAGATGAAGTTCAGCATACGTTTARGAAACTTTCTTTCCCCTGTATCCATGTGCCAGAGTTTATGAGCAACAAAACAGATATCTGCAATTTTGTTATYAGTTCAGAATCACCTGAATTTTTCAGGAAAAAAGCAAAGAAACCAAAACCAAGTCAAAACTCACAACAAGTGCTRAAAGGAGACACTAAGGATTTTAAAGTTGAATGTTTGGAAGCAGAATTCAGACTAAAAGTATGATTAGTTAACTAAATTTCTATAGAAATAGAAAGAAAGTAAACCACTTTATAGAAAGAAGTAAAACAAATTCTTCTCTTGCAAAATTTGTAAGCTGAAAGCTTTCCTCAACAAACAGAGGTTGTTAGACAAATAAATATACATCAATATTTCAAAGAACATAAAAATAAGTACCAACAAGATTCCTKCCAAGAGTAGGGAAAAGCTCTCTGATTCAGTTTGGTTCATTAAGAGCCTGATCAGTACGCACAGCTATTGTTTTAGCCTGTTTTCCTTACCTTGGAATGAAATAGGGTTCTTTTTTCTTTTCCTCCCTCTGTGATAATTATTTTTGACAGTTTCACTGTTTATATGTGAAACTGAGAAACTGTTAATTGAAATAAAAAATGAGTCACTGTTTCCAGCAAGTTTTGCCAATGTTTTGATCTGTGTCAATCTGAGCTTAATTATTAAGTTTTCTTTAAAGGAAGAGGCAAAACTGTATATTTTAATTTGGCCCCATACAAATACTGCACTCCTCAGACATGCGTCAGTTTGAGAATATGAAACGCTGCTAAATAGGGTTGAAAATATATTTAATGACTATGCACTAGAGACCTATGGTTAAAAATAATGCGGATGAGAAAATACTCTTTTTTTTNTTTTTTTTTTTTTTTTTTTTTGAGAGAAGGATTTGAGAAGCATTTATAGCTTTTCATCAGATATGATTAACCATGATATATGGTCTATCACTAATGATGTTGCCAAAGTCAACATCTCTTGGCTGTGAGAGGGAAATCATGTGGAAAGCCTTCCGGGTGTTGTAGGCAAAGGACAGGCTCTGTGTCCTGTAGCCATCCACACACTCCCCTGGTGTCTGTTCTACAAATACRTGTCTGCTGTCATAAACTTGCTCGGGTGCTTGATAGAAATTCCTCTGTGATTTTACTGTTAATGCACAAATTTGGCTTGGCAGAAATACACCCTGGGATAGCAGAGGTGCAAGGGAAGATTTTCCCACATGTTTATGAGCCTGAGGTGTATGTGTATGTGAGAAGGAATTGGGGGCAGAGGGGGAAAATGACAAAAAATCCTTTATATCCACAAAGGAAAAATACTAATTTTTTTAAAAAATCATCCTGGGGGTGCTTGAGGAAGCTGAGAACTATTGTAGAAGTCTGTCTCAGGAAGGCATTTAAATGGCTCTACAAAAAAAGCATGTATAATTAATATACATGGCAAAATATATTTTTAAAGACACAATTATTTGAACAGAACACACAGCACACAGTCATGAGCTAGTGACATCACAGGACTTGGGAAGAGAGAAGCTTGCAGCTTTCCTATGCCACACAATTTTTTTTTTTTTTTTTGCATTTGTTTTTCCAAATCAGGATAAATCCAAGACCATTAAGAAACTGTTTGCAAAACAGAGGCAGGCAGTTCCACTCCTGAATGCTTTTGCTGTCCTTGGATGTGGGAGCTCTCTTTCTCTTACAAGCAGTGGACACTCATGGAATCARGATGAGCAGAAATTTCAACCTACCCCTTCCACCAAACTCTTGGCTGTTTCCAAAAGCAGCCAGATTTTCCAGTTTTGCCAGTAACTTTCAAGCTTCTATCAATTTATAGGCTCCTGAGTGTTTTCTCTAGCTCCCATGTAAGAGGAGGAGCCTGACAAAAGTGACTAGCAAAGCATATCGGCCTTTCCTAAATCAGTACAGACTAAAAAGGAGATCCTCCAGCAGTCTTTTGCAGGCATTATGGGCGCCAATCATCACTGCAGCAACCTCTTAAGCCTTTGAAGCTCCTCATTTTCCTTTCCTCCCTAGATGCAACCACACATTCAATGCATTCACAGTTTCTGTGCCTGCCTTTGGGCTTCTTTCCTTTTCATACTTTCTGGCTGTTTGCGCTGCTSTTTGCTGGGCATGCTCCAAAATACCTATCAAAATGAGGTGCTCTAAATCAGACTGCCAGCCAAAAGCTCAGGCTAAAGCCTAAAAATGAGGACAAGGTGCAGGTTTTCCGTCACTGCTGCCTTGCCGTAGGCATCTTGGGTTTTGTTCAAGGACAAACTATTGTTCCACTATGGAAAAGAAACTCTTTTAAAAATCTCTGTGAATGCAGCTTAWCACATGGATTTCTGACTAAAAGTCAGTTACAGGGATTATAGATGAAAAGTGTATGCACTGAAGATATTTTTCTGGTTAAATGAATCCAGGAATCGCTTCTACTGACACCTCTGCAATCAAACAAGCAGGGTGTAGAGCTGAAGAATACTTTGTGAAAGAGAGCAGAAGATAATGCCAGTGCCAATGACTGAGAGGAACTGGAACATCAAATAAATATTTTCTATCTATTTTGTCTGAAAAAGGGTAACTGCGGTGGAATGGTTGTTTTGGTAGAAGGACAGTCAGGTATGAATAGCAGCTCCAGAGTGTGTTAGGAGGGCTGACGTAGGACATGCAGCTTCCAGGGAGTTGYCACTTGGAAGCAGCAGACAAAAATGAATGTCTATCTCTTAAACAAATAGCTAAAGACTGTTTTCATGCATGCCATTTATAGCTCAGTGTGCATTTTAAGAATTTAATGTGTATTTTTGACAACTTATACCATAAATATACAACAGTAAAACTTTGACACCATACTAACATATCAGATACTGAGTGTAGTTTCTGGAAAATACATGCATTAAAAATGTTAGACCTATTTCCTTGGGACAAGAGGAATCTTCATACCATATGTCCAGCAGGTTGTGCCTTTAGTGAAAAAGACAAAAAAAAAACCCTTAGTTTGACATTTTTTCTATTTAAAAGTCTTTCTATCTTTCTTTGTTGCTCTTCTCCCATACCTCMCCCATCCACCCATGAAATTATTTACTTAATTAGCAGGAATTTCACCAACTAATCAGCTACAGTTGTTGCTATAGYTTTCTCCTGCTACATTTCATTGACTGTTTTTGCTGTGTTGTTCCCCAGCACTGTTACTATCTGTCCTAAGCATTGCAATTCAAAGTTGTTGTTTGCTTGCAYGGGGAATACAAAAGTTTTAGTGGGGAAATTTCACCCAAACAAATTATTTTCTTAAATTGGTACAAATCAGTCAACAAGCTGAGGTGTTAGCATCCTGCGAATCCCCATATTGGCSATTCAGCATCTGAACCCAGAAGGCTTTCTGCTGTGCTCCCAGCATCCCCATGGCAAGGAGCATCCCTCTTGAAKGCAGCTCCTCACCACAAAACAGTCAGTGCAACCAAACTGTCCGCCCAGTGCTGAAAATCCTCCATGCTCAGATTGTTATCATTAAAGTCCTTGAAACTGGAGCTACACTTCAAACTCTTCAACTAAAAAATAAAGAGAGAAAAGAAAAACACATTTCTCCAGCAAGCTAAGTCCTTTCTAACTATTGGATAAGCTTCTTTGAAGTTCCTTCATCACCTTCAATCATAGCTAAAGGAAGTCTTCTGTATGTTTACAACCCTGCTTTTCCTTTTACAAAGAGAAGCACAACACACTGGGATTKTACTGCAGCAAGTAATAAATGACACTGTATAAAATACAATAATGACTTGAAAAGAACATGTAGGCAGTTCAGCAATTGCTCAATGAGTTCAAGGAGCACTCTTTTGACAATCCTCAATCGTACATAATGATGGAGTTCAATATCTTTTGTACTCTCATGGGAATTACAAAAAAATTATTGCATTACAAAATGCGAAAGGAGAGCTCGACTGTTATAAACATAGATCATWCTACAGGCAAACCTCATTTTTACATCATATTAACAAGAAAATTTTTGTGCTTACTATGTAGGGGTACTTCTTAATTATAAAAAAGTGGAGTATGCACATTTGTATACAATTATRCTCAGTACTGTTAAATAATCCTTTGCTCGTGAGCAGATGCCTGAGCTTTGTGAACAACAATGACTGCAGGCGGGGCACTGCGATTCGTCAGTGACAGAATCTCTCTTGTTTCCTCAGCACACGGCTGTATTGCCATTTGCTCTCCTGGAAATCCTTGCCTTGCCTCATCGTTACCCAGCAAAGAAGAATGGATTGATCCTTTTGGGATTTGTTGCTTTTCTTTATATCAGTTGGTAAGAATTCAGTATTTTTTGTTCTAGTAATCTACTTAGTAAAATAAGCGCAAACGCTGTACTTTGGATCTAAATTCCCAYTCAGACACATGGTAGATAGCAATCTGTTCTGTGGAGAAACCATTTAAACTTCAGCTGAGACCCATGAAAACTATTTCCAAATGTAGGCAAGGCAGGTTTCTTYGAACACAATACAGGTCCTGAGACCTTATAGAGTGTCTCCTGCTCTTGTAAGGCCTCTTACAGGAAAGTAACTAAATTGCCATAAACTCAGGGATACTTCCAGTAATTTCTTCTAGGCTGAACTTTTTATTTCTACCAGTACTATCAAATTTACCTCCACTCATTGTCGTGCTCACTGCAAAAACACCAGATCCCAAAAGGTCTGGGGGTCATGGGAGCAGGACAGGAGTAAAACTTAGTTTGGTATTTGGCAGGGACACATGGGTGGTTTTAGAAACTCGAGACAGAAAACGATCCTTGGAGCCAGGTGCAAACTGGTGGGTAGAGCAGAGGCACCTGCCCCTCTACCACCTCCCATTTCACCAGTGGACACTGCCTACATTTCCTGCAATGCACGAGCTGAGCCCCAACCTGTCGGAGAATGACCCTGAAAGAGTTAACTACATCTAATCAGCACCTCCCACAGCTCACAGCCATCTGTCCACCTGCTGTGTGTGTGTCATGCATCCCTGGAGCTGGGTTTGCTCATTGCATCCTGACTGCAGTGCTGGGATATGGAGGCACTGCCACTCCATGTAACTATGGGCAGCTCCCCACACTTTAAACCTCTCAGAGGATGCCTTAGATTGAGACCCAGCTCAGGAAGAGGTCTGTACACTTTCAGGGTATACTGTGATCCAACTTTCCAGAGCTGAGGAAACATCCAGGTTCTAGGGCGGAGAATACAGAGCACCTGTCTAACAACAAAAGGATCCAAGTCAGTGAGGAAGTGACTTGTCCTCATGCAAAGACTTCTGAGAAGTCTGGGACTATGAGGAAACCCATCCTTCCCACTCCTACCCACCAGCTCTCACTCTSAGCTAGAAACCATCTTCACCCCAGTGAGTGAAAATTTGAAATAGAAAATAAACTGTACAGATGAAACACTTGTGTGACTTGAAACCCAACAGAGTGTCTGTGGAAGCAGGGGACTTCACTGCTACATTACATAAGCAAATTAGGAGCCATTTATTCTAATCCAGCCCAGAGACTAATAGGATTATGACTATGGCTTCCTGAATTCCTTTTCTATGTTCTGATTCACCCAGTTGCTTAATGCCAGCTTTGTTTTGCTTGTCTTATGACAACATTTGGGTTTTACTGTCTTTGAGACCAGACTGATCTTCCAGCAAGTCGTGCAGCCATATGTGCCATGCTTTTCCCTAAAATCCCTATTGGCTGAGCAATTTCACCTCTCAGGAGACATGGCTCATATCAGGACCAGAATCCACACCAAAGGATGAAGATCAACAYAAGCATCAACACATCTGAGCCCACCCTATGCGTTGGTGCTGCATTGTGCTGCCAGGGTTGTGAGTGCAAGGTGGTCTCTTGGAGYGCTTGTCCCCTGTGTCCCAGGGCCCTGACAACTGGATAAAAGATATTAGGATGCCAATATTGTTTCCAAATCAGCAAGGAACCTCCTGCCTGCTTACTTTTTGCCTCCACTTTGTGGCTCCCTGCAAATCACAGACAACAGCTTTCAACCAACAGCAAAAATGTTCTGGCCTGTGCACTGAAATCTTAACACAAGTACATATTTTACTGTTGGTGCTGCAACCTGGTGATTTAATAGCCCCATTTGGGCACCATATGTTACACAAGCAACAGAGTCCTTCCTACAAGCCTCTCCTTGAACTGTCACTGCCATTGCTGCAGTGTTGAAGGGCTGAGAAGTGACTGGTCCCTCCAAGACAGCAGAAAAATTGAGCAGCCAGTTACACCTTGCACCCGACGCCTGCCTCTGAGCAGGGTTTCACTGTGGCTTTGAACACCCTGTGTAGTCACTTGTTTGGGTTTGAAAATATATGTTGGAGTGCTTCACCAGCTGGCCAAATTGCATCAAGTTAATCTAGTTCCTTGTTACATAAAAGAAAGGTGGCTGTCACTCTCTGTTTTACTGTGTTTAAGACACAACATGAAAAGAGGAGTCTTGTGCAGTGAAGAACAAATGCTGACATTTGCATAGGCTCCACTTAACACCTGGACTTCAGTATTTCTGCTCAGCCTCTCAGGGGCCTTTCCTGCAGGCTTTTAGGTTGGTTGTTTTTTTTTTTTTTTTCAATCAGTTAGGTGTTCCAGAGCTCTCTTTGTTAGATGAAAAAATCTTGAGTCATGAAAAATGTGTCTCTACATTTAAATATTTCCATGCTGAGTCCAGATAGCTCTACTATCAATCCCCTCCATTTCTGCACTCTATCCCTTAGGTGAGGATTAGTAAATCTCAATTCACAGGCAAGACAAAACCAACTTCTTTATGCCCCATTCCTTCCTTCTTTTAGTAAAGAGAGGAAGAAGCATCTTTTCAGCCTTCTTTTTCCCCTCCTTAGTGTTCTCCCATTCCTCACTGTAATAACAGTTTCATGATAGTGGGGCAGCCTGTTTGTCACTTCTCTTTGAGGCATGATCCTCAGTGTAAGGGAGCAGGCTGGGAGCCATAAGAAAAAATTGTGATTGCATTCCCAGGTTAGAACTGGTGGTGGAAAGTACGACATACTCCTCAGATATGTTTTTTTCTTAATAAAGATTTAAATCTTTTAGGATCATTTGGACCTAAAAGTTTGTTTTAGGGAAGCGCTGCCCTTGTTAAAATGGCTCATCCTCATAACAGTCAATGACAATCTACCCTATTTCTTTATTTCTTAACATAATCAATATAAATATACATAATCTTATTCACAAAAATTCTTTTTTCTTACACTCAATATATAAAGATCACTTTTATATTCTTAAAGTTCWGTCATTTTCTAACAACAACTGTTATGAGCCATAAACAATGAACACTTTACCAGTGAACTGACAGTACTACAAGACATTTTCTGAGAGAATTAAAAAGGCAGAAAAAGACAGCRCAATTAGGAGTAAAGAAACCCTATAAAGCAGGCATATTAATCGTCTTTCTTGTCCTTCTTTTCCAAACCATGCTTTGCAAACAAAGTTCCAGCACAAAAGTGTGAAGCAGCCACATCTGTTTCCCACCTACCCATTCCTCTTCTCTTCCTCCTCTTAGAAAAGAAAAGGAGCTGGAGAATTCCCCTTGCCCTCTCACCTCCTGAAAACTTCTTTCCACTTCTCAAAGAAGTGGTCAACAGCAGAAAGATTGAGACAGGGAGGAACAGCTCTGTGTCTCCACAGACTCCAGGGATCTTCATAGGGGCTGAGAAGCTCTTGTAACTAAAGAGCAAACATATGTGAGAGCTTATTTGAATAAGCGTCAGTTATCATAGCCAAGTGCACATCCCTGATCCTGAATATTTTACGATTTCACTGCCCTTTCACCGCTGTTCATAGCCCATGCCACCAGGGTGATAGCAGAATATTGTGCACATTCCAACCTGCACTGAAATCCATCTAATTTAGCAGTGGCTCAAGTGYGCTTGACAGCAAAGAGCCCAAGCGCCAAGGAGATGTATCGACAGCTGAGCTAATTTTCTCTGTGCCAAGTCTGTTTTGATAACTCAGCCCTTTAGGAGTTGGAAATGATGAAGTGGTTCTTCTAACTGAATGGTCTTAACCAAAGGCAATTTCTCTCCTTCTTTGCCTAGGGTCCTGTGGATTTACTCTGTGACGGGAGARTGGGTATATCCTCTCTTTGCTTTGTTCAGCCCCTCTGGGTTAGCAGCCTTTTTTGCCGGTAGCCTTGCCGTCATCGTCTCCTTCTACAACTTTGGAGAGTTCCTCAACCGTATGATATGGGGTCAGTCCAAATTTTGTTCATTATGCCTATCCATATGAAAAAAAAAACCCTTTAAAATTGATTGCTGTGATTGCCAAGGCAGGCAGGGAGAGGAAAGGGGCATGAGTGCACTGGCTAAGGTGTTGGGATGGTGGCATTTGGGTGGCAGGTAATGACTGTCGAGCCCTACTCACATGCTGAGAAATAGCAAACAAATTGGAGGAAGGATCCCAGCCTACCAGACAAATGTTGGGCCACCTTTCTCTAACGTGGCTCAAGAAGCACCTCTTACCAGCATAATCATTGGATTTTGAATTTCTGCTCAAAGAAGGGTCCAGAGAAGCCGCATGTCTCAGGCTAAGACTCTTACACCTGCATTACATGTTGTTTGTCAGACATGAGAATAGCAGTGTTTACTGGAAATTTACAGGAATACATTGGTGTATCCAAGCAAAAGCATCGTAGCACAGCTCCATGACTAAAATAGCACTTCAGAAAGTTTTACAAACTGTTTAGAATTTCTCCCTTCTGCTTTGGGAATGGTATAACCAGTGGTGATCTAAAAAAAAAAAAGAAAGGCAACTTCCTTGGGCAAATGGTGGTGGGGTGGGAAAGCCATTTAGGAGAGCATATTTAACAAGTGGAAGAAAGAGGGAACTGAGGAAGTACCTTTGGGGGTTTGGCATTATTATATATACAGGGGATATATACATTTGGGGGATATTATCCTTATTATTGTTATAGTCATTATTATTCCTTCTGGTTTCCTCTTTCCTTTTTCATTCAAGATTAAGTTTTTGAGGATGAAAGTGTTTCTGTCAGTGAAATGTGTGTATTTTATTTAGGACAAATGTGTGAACATTTGCAATTTCTTAAACCAGCTTTCTGATGAAAGAAAAAACACTGCAGAAACACCTCTGAAAATAAATAAGACAACCTCCCTCTGTTCTCAGGGAACATTTGATGCCTGATCCATTTTGCGAAGTCTCACATGCCTGTCAAGCCAAAGCAGRGTGTCTGTAGCTAGTCTCTCACCATCCGTACTCAGCTACCTAAAAGAAGCAGATTGACTTTCAAATGTGCTGAATAACCAACTTCACCGCTTGATACCTTTGCAAACAAGATGCTCGCTCCACTTGTCCATGTTTGGAGATTTTGGCTGCATCCTATTCTGCATAAACATGAGATGAGGATTGCTGGTAAATGAAAACAGATCAGCAGCCTTTCTGCACTAGCTCTGGTTTAAGAGGCATCACATAAATAGTAACCAAAGACCACATCATCACTACATGGTGGCGTAAGTCTTTTATATAAGGTATCTGCTACATCTGGGCATCAGATTTTTTTCATCACTGAGTACGTATTAGTAATTTCAGGCCTAGARTATGCCTGCTGCATAAGTTGGAGATAATCAGAATTAAAATAATTTGATTTCCAAAGTGTTAACTGATTGGACAAAAGGTTGTACCAAGCAGAGACCAAATTAACTGCAAAAACTAGATGCATATTCAACAGCTGACTAAAGAAGCTGGGGCAAGACTCAACTTTTCTGTGCACACAGAGAGGCTGAAACACACCCCCAGTTGTGGTAGCATGAATGTAACCTCAGAGTATCTAGATAAACAATACACAATATTCTCCATTGATAYCTGGTGTGCTCTTGCAATCCCTGGAGGCCTCCTCTGTGTGGTGGGTCTGCGTCTCCATGCATACTTGGCATTTTTCAAAGGAGCCACAAAATTCTGGCCTTAACAATTACRTGGTGTTTACATCCATGTGCAAGACACTCCCCTTGAGCTACACTTCCCCATGTTGGTGCCAAGTGTTTTTCCTGATCCATTTCTCAGCTGTGTCCACCCAAGAGAAGAGTAGGACTTCCTTAAGCTGGTATCAATAACAAAGTCCCAATAAAGCCTTGAAACACAGCCACAGGGAAGCTATTCCAAATTACAGTGTGCCAGAGTCTTAATATATTCCTGACTGAGACAAATCTTTGGTTTAGCACTGCCAGAGAAAAAAGAGCTGCAAACTGGATGAAGACATGATTCCAGTGTACCTTTGTTCACACAGCAAAAATGGCTCCATGTACTTATTTTCATACTACCCTTTCCTGTTTCTCCTTCCCATCAAAACAAGAGGATGCAGTCAAAATGACCCTGCAGAACACAAAAGAAGAAAACAAACACCAACCCCCACACACAAGACAAAACTATCAGTGTGGTAGAGGATAGATCTCTTCATCTTTGTACAATCTCCACCCTGCCCACCTCCCCCCTCCCCCAAAAGAAAAAGTACATGGAAGGGCACTTTTGATCTCTCTTTTCCTTCCTCCTCATCCCCCAAAGGCAGTTTGGGTTACAAAGGAATGCAGTTATCTACCAGGTTCCTATAGGCACATCTGRAAACACCTTCTCCAGTAACACCTGAAGCCATTGAACAATTAAACCTGATGCTGGTGGGATCTGATGAGGCAGAGCTCTCCAACTGGGCTGCTGGCACCAGGATTCCCCCCAAAGGAAAAAAATCCAGGGCTATTGCTTCTTTTTATTTCTTTCCCACTCGAATGAAGAACAGTTGCCCAGTTGTGTTTATTTGAAGGTGCAAGAAGCGATTAACGAACAGCTCCCCCAGAGTGGCAAGCCTGGCTTCCTTCTGGACCTACATCCTGTGGCAGACTGTAGGCTGCAAATTAAGCTTGTTCCACAGCACACCATGCTTCACATGGGCTCTTCCACCCTCCCTTATAACTCCAGGACATTATTATTCTTCCTAAAACCAGCTACATAAATATTTACTCTTTTTCACAATTAAATTTAGTTCTAATTTATTCCAAAGTCCATAGATGGCAGCTTTCAGCTTCAAGCAAGTAAGTGTTAAATCTACATCCTGTGCTTGACTGAAAAGATGCAGTATCATTTCTGAGAGCTGGAAAATCCAGGCTGCAGAATAACATAACCTTTTTTTCCCTTTTCAGGATGYCAGACCCTAAATTCATTTTATTATTTATAGACAAACTGTTTCATACAGTATTGGAGGTTTTAAAAATGTATTATCTCTCATGTGCCTCTCCTCTCCCTCCCCTTACACAGTTGGATTGGTGGTAACTAAGGCAACCCAGCTGCACAGCCTGAGAGGCACAGAAAATAGTACCAGTAATGACTTCTTTTTGTTTTAAATCCCAGAGTTTCTAGAGTACAAGACAATGTTGAGAAATACAGAAACTCCAAAGAGGATAATCTGAAACAATGAGCTGATTCTTTTACTTCCATAAATTTACCTCAGCCAAGCATTTGGCTGCCRGGGTTTGAGTACCAAAGATGAACCGTTTGAGTTTCTCCCATTCCCGATGGGTGGAAAACATCACACAGGCAACTGATCTCATGTTTTTTTTACAAAAAAAACTAGAATCCTCAAAAATAAAGCAAAGCAGAATTCGCCTAAGCTTTCCTCTTGTTGAGACAACCAGATCCTTGGGAAAAATTTGGATCAAAGTTCTCCACATCAGAGAGAGCAAGCTTTTAAGTGAGGTCTTTTCTCTAGAACCAGCATTTGAAGATGGAGCACATTCATTTGTCTTCTAACATATCTGAWAAAAAACCCCAAAATAACATTCATCCGCTGTTTCATTTCAATACTCTGAAGCGCAGGAGGAGAGTAGCTATGGTGAGCAACAGCTACTTGCTCCACTAGTGATTGAAAGGCGTCCTGAGGGGCACTTTGCAAGATTTTATAGCCACAAAACCTCTCCCAGAGAAATGCTTATCCCCAGGTGGTGGAACCATCCTTTGGGAGAGGGGAGGCTGACTKTCAGAGAGGGCAGCAGCTCTGACACACCACTGGAATGCTTGCTGTCCTCCAGAAGGGAAAGCTTTGGCCAGCAGCTGGCTGAGGAGCACTGGCAGGGGCAAAACAAAAATTAAAGATAGTATAAAGCAATGGATAAGGCAGCACAACAAGAATAAGAGCCATTGCTCTCAGTAAAAAGAAGAAACTTATGGTGGAATAAGTCCTTGAGCTCAGTGCACAGATGGATGTGCTCTTCCACATCTTCTATGAGCTCTTAAATATCTTGGGAAAAYATTGCTGAAACATATTTACCTGAGGCTGAACTAAAGTTAAACAACAATCTTCTCTTTAGCCTGTTTTTCCTCCTTTTCTTTTTTTGAGTACTTCTGCATTCAATGCATTTTCCAGAAACATATATGTTTTAGCAACTGATTACTTTCCCTGAGGTTTTGTTTTGTTTTGTTTTGTTTTTTTGGTTTTTTTTTGTATTTATGTGCTTTTGAAACCAAGCTTCCTTAATATCCTGTAGCCTTGGGAATTCCAGCCTATGTGCAGCTCACAAATCTGTGCAATACAAAGCAATACTATAATAAGATTGAATTCTTGATGCTCTCATTATTCCGAGCAGCTGTTGAGATTGCAGAAACCCAAATGGCAAATAAAGGGATGCAAAGGGCAACTGTGTGGAGCATGAAGTCATGCTACCATTGTACTGGTACAGCCTTATCAACAGCACTTTTTGTAGGAATGTTAAAATGCTGATGTTCTGCATTTAGTTATTACAGACACAGGTTCCACCCTTTGCTACTACAGTATCCAGGTGGGATTTTTAAACTGAGATTTCTTTCCAGAAGATTTGTTGCAACATGCCTTTAAAAACAAAGAGTCCAAGTGCATCTGTTCCTTTCAGTGACCAAATAATGTTTACATCCATAATTTCACGATACTGTCAATGATGAATTGCAGTCAGATTTAAGAGCACTTAAACCCCAGAGTTTGCAAACTAAATATGAATATTTACTTTTGATTCATCCATTCGTCCTAATTGTGCCACAAATCTGTGATGGCAAGTTTATGTCTTTCGTATTTGTCACTGCCCAAAGCTGCAGTTTACCCCTCAGGTGGAGATGACTGACTGTTTAAAGGAAACCTGGACTATTTGTCACATGTCCTMTTCTTGATGATAAGTTTATCTGATGATCCACTGGAGGCAGATTGGATTGAAATCCCTGACAAACTAGGGTTTATGAATTTGTCAGTGGAGGCCAGACATTAACAAGTGCTGGTTAACAGGCTGGCCCTGGCCTAACAGGCTACTCTTTTTCTTTGCAGCTGKTTTTTTTCTTTTTCCTCCCCATAAATATCCATCTGTATTGGTCAGTACACACCAATACAATACAGCAATGAGTGTTTCCAAGCCTCCMAAGTCTATGGACAAGGATAGACCATGTAAAAGAGAGTTTCATATGAGTGAATTGTCATCAGCAGGGAGGAAGAGAGGCTGAGACAGTGTGTTAGAAAAGGTACCTATAAATAGCTGATTATTGCCACACTGGGYGCCCCACAGTGGCACAACCAGTCTCAAGCTGATGCTTCAGAAAGCTGTGGGATTTCAGTAGGTCCTGTGCTGTCCTGACCAGCCATGTGAGGATCCTCCAGATATCCCAGGTGCAGGGATTACTCATCTGCTGCCCTTCCAGACAAGCTTTATTTTTAAAGCTTTTCAGKTACTTGTACAACAAACTAGATTCATTCGGTGGAAGACGCTTTCTCCCATGGACAAAGCACAGTTATTCTCAGAGGGTGTGGCCCATGGCGGATTTCAATTCATTTCTCCGTCACTGAGTAATCCATTACCTGTGGGGACATTACAGGCTCATTTGACTTCTGCAGCACTTTAGCATTTGCAGCTGGTCCAAGACATGCTCTCSCAATTTGCTTCCACTCCCAGATGAGTAGAGTTCCCAGGGATGTTAGGTGGGAGGCTGGGCCTGGTTTCACGTCCTCTTTATGCTTAATCTGTGAAAGGACTTCTCCGTTATGCCTTTCCCTCCCTTTCCAATAATACCTTCTCCTCTGTCTCCAAACAGGAGATTCAATAGTAATATTGGAYCACAAGTGGAAAGGCAAGTGAATCSTCCTCTTGGAGCCAAACAATCTCTCCATGAATGTTGAAGCCATGAARTAGAGGAAAATAAATACAGCTGTGATAAATCCTTTCTCCAATGCATTTCAGCTTCTGGTGAAGCCATTATGACATCAGACATATGGAAAACTGGTGGAAAATATGAAATGTTTGCCTCTTTCACGATAACTCTGCAACTGCTCTGAATGAGAAAATTGTCTTCATCTGTTTACACAGATTTCTCATCTCTTGCATAACGTACGTGAGGATGTGTCCATGGTTAAAAGTTGTCACTGGTAAACGCGCTCCCTCATGAGCTTGGCACCACTCTGTAAAAGACCTGTGAACGCAAGCCAGCTCTTGTTTGGATTGCCCTTCATCAAGTCTGGAAAAAATTAAGAGGAGAGATAATTTTAACAGTGCTGTGACTTCCAAGCTAGCTAGATAACAAATTGGGCTAACAAGAACTGCAATTAGAAATGTCTGCTCAGAAAGTCACCATGAAGCTGAGTTCTTCCAACGAGAAACTTTCTGTAATATTAATATGCTTAATATCTCCCCTCCATTTTAACAGGAAATCTGAAGGCAACAGTTTCCTCCCTTTTCTTGATTTCAGTTAATCTCTCAGCAAAAGTAACCTAATTATACTGACTGTATGACTGCTTTGACAGAAAGCATGTTAATTTAAAGCACTGTTTAACATAAAGCTGCCTGCCATATAATTACACTCCATTCACATGTTTACTAATTTTCCTCAATATAGTTGATTTCTGTTATTASTCTCAACATTTTGTTAGCATCCAAACACACTGGAGATCTGCTTTGCAAACTCCAATAAGCATGCAAAACCGAGATTAGCATAAGTGTTCCTTAATGGTCAATGTGAAAAAGAAAAATCTCCATTATTATTCCTGATTCAAAGAGGATTTGAGACTAGTTGCAGTACTTAAATGTCTAACTCCATCCTCATTGCCAAAACCCCTTGCTTAGAGCTACTGTGCACGCAGTTCACCAGGGGGTTATTTTCACCTTTCGAATGCTGCTGGAGCTTAGCAAAAATGAAACATGTTGTAAGCTGCCTGTGAGCAATAAAAAGATAATGTGTATACATAAGATTGTTCTTCTCATGTGTTAAGCACCTGATAAAAATTCTAATCTKGGAAGTTAACATGCTAGGCCTAGACTGTAAACCAAGTGAACYCCACGAGAGACGTGCATGCATTCAGTAATTCCCAGTTTGTCTAGATAACTCACTCCAGCTAACTTTGCAAGGGGAATGTAAGCAGTTACATATGATCACACAGAAACACACTCCTCCCTCCTTTACCCTTGAAGCTAAAACAGAATATGGAAAAAATTCAGCTGAAAGATACTGGTCAAAGGAAATACATTGGAAAGACAGRTAGAAGAAAAAACTTGAAGGGAATTAGGGAAGAAGAGAAAGTTATGGGAACTTCCTGTACAGATTTCTTCAGTATTTTTGTCTTCACTTCTTTCTTTTTTAATGCTTTTATTTTGTACTGATACTCCAGTACAAACAGTTTAATTGTCAGATACTCAAAACAAAGSGTGGGCCCACCAGAGGGAGATTGGTCTTTCCACTTCCAACCAGAGGAGCCTATTGGCAGATCTCACMATCAGCTCCAGTTCACACCAGCGATACCTTTGGGCTGTGATGTGGTGACTGAGCTTCTGGACTACAGGGCTTTGAGGAGAATCATGGGGGAGGCTGCTTATTTCTTTGAAAAGGGCTCAGAAGAGGCACTTCTCTCTGCTACATCCTGTGTGGAGAGAAGCTGGATTCCAGTCATGCACTTTGGGAAAACAAAAAGGAATGCCTGTCCCCAAAACACAACTGCTGGGGACCTTCAATTTGCTTCATTTCTTTCTCTGATGCCCATGAAGCCCTGAAAGAAGAAAATGTGTCACTGCTCACGAACCAATATTTTCCCTGCGATTTCCAAAAAAGCTCACTGTGGCACCTGAGTAAGGATCTGGCCTCAACAACATTTACACCAGATTTCTCCTCCCAGTCTATCAGTCTCTCTCGTTTCATTTTAAGTATGCAAAGTCAGTCAGAACTGTTTATTTATAACTGTCGATATTCATGGCTGTATAAATTAGCTGTTATTACTGAATGAGGTGGCCGCCCACTCGCCCAGAGCAGCTGCATAGGAGCCCTTTCATGCCGCTCCACGGAACGCAGCCCCAGCAGGGAGGGAAACTACGTGGTTCCAGGCAGACGAAGGGACCGCGGCTTAAACCCTTGGGTGAAGAAACAGCAACTAATTTTTTCCACAGTGCAATCTGCAGCATGACAACCACAATTACCGAATACTGTTTAGACCTGCCACTTGTATTTGGCAGAGAGAGAATATTAAGGATTAAAATCACCAGATGAAGAAAATCCACACAAACTATAACCTACCCCCAGACTTTCATTTTATAATATTAAGCAATATTTGCTTGGAGAAGGTGAGGGGGATGGGGACAGTCAGGGGATGTAAAAGCAAAACTGGTTGTTATTGAGAAAGAGCACCACCAGAAAATAGGGACCCATGGCATACACAGACACAGAGCTCTTTCCAGCAGAAACAGCTGGAAAGCACTATCCACCACCACGAGGAGCTTTCATCTTAACTCACACCTTTGTAACAGTTTACTCCCACAAAAAGCATAGGCAAGTGCTAATTTATTCCCTCCCCAGTTTCCCATACAAATTTCTTGGTTCTGGTTCTCTGCCAGAGCTTCAGGGTCACAATGTGACCTCAACAACATAATTTAAGATTGTTCCAAGCCTTCAGTGTAACTAYTGAGGATTTACTTTGATGGATGTGGAGCCAGGATCTGGCATGCAGAAAATATGCATTTACATTCTACCAAAGTGTCTAAAATAGTTGCCCAGGGACACTGAAATTCAATTTGAGACCTTGTATTCACTTGGCAGAGCACATAATTAAATACTTTGTGCCACAAAATTAACCAGAGTCTCAGGGGTATGTGTAAGAGAAGGTTTAGAATCAACCATGAGAGCCAAACTAAGACCCACTTCCCAGGCACGATATTCAGCAAATATTGGAAAAAAAAAAAAATCATTGCAGTCATATATGGGTTCATAATTTTTCTTAGTATTTAATCTTACTGATTATCTGCAATAACCTCTTACCTCAGAGGAARAGGTTATTGGCTGTGTGGATTTATATGAATAACCCCAGTTCAAGAACTGCTCTTGAACTAAACCTCCTGCTTATATCTAAGAACTGTTTGCTCCTGAGTTAATCATTTGGAAAGAAGCATCAGGTAAAAAACAAATACAATTACAATAGGCCAGACTTCATAACAAGTGGTTATATCCTCAAAGCAGAATTTTTGTCTTTTAAAGTCTGCAGAGGCTGCACCCTGCAAGAAATTTGATGCTCCTGAAAAGCAAACCAAATACCTGATGTGCTAGATGTCAGTACACTTCAGTTTAGATTCCAGACACCAGTGCATCTAAAAACAAGGGGTTGAGTTAAACCTCTAGGATATGGCCCAGTAATTGCTCTGAGCTATAAAATTTAATGATAATACTTGGTGTTTCAAATTTCACTTTCTATCAAATGCTCTCAAAACATTTAATCAAAGCTTCTTCATTTCACCTTGAGAGGGTAATTTCCCTCACTGCCTGGAGAAGAGCACATATATGAGACACTTGTTTTGATTTACATCCAAGAGAAGCAGAATTACCTCCCCAAGTACACAGGACAATATGGTTTCATTGTCAGTACAGCATGTTCCTTAAGAAGGGGAGAAGGAAACCAATATACACCAACATAAAACTGCTTTTSGTTTTGAGATGTTAATTCAAGTTTTTGACGTGGAGCCACCCAGTGAGTGTGCCCAGGTATCAATGCCCAAGTGGGAAATGAGGACATGTGAATAAAAGGAGCTCCACGGTTAAGCATTACTTTCCATCAGGTTTTTCTAGCTGTGGATAGAGAAAAGTGTGATTGTGGAAGTGCGCTTCAAACAGGAAAGAACCACGCTTCGAGTAATAGAATCATTAACGTTTGAAGACCTCTACAATCATTGAATCCACCGCTAAGCCATGCCCCAAAATGCCACACCACACGTTTTTCTAACACTTCCAGGGACGGTGATTCCACCACTCCATGGGCCTGACAGCCCTCCAGCCCTCCATGTCCTTACTGTGGTGAGGGAGAAGCGGGCACAGGACTCGAGGAGTGGCCTCGCCAGTGCCGATACCCGCTGCTCTCCGCACTGARGAAGGACCACTGCTGCCGCCAGCCTCCCCCGCCCCAGACAAAGCAGCCCAGAGCTCGGCAGCTCGGTTCCACCGGGGCTCCCTGAGCTGCCATTCCCGGCGGGATTGCCGGCAGCGAGGGAAGGCCGGCAGGGCCACAGCACCACCTGGCGGCRCGGCGGGGAACAGGCGGGAGCCCTCGGGGGAGATCCCGGCCCAGCTCGGCCGGCCCTCAGCTCCGGGAAAGGCCCTTTCCCACCCGGGACAGCGGCCACCGCTTCCCCACAGCGTCATGTGCATTTGGGGGCGATTTCAGCGTTACCGATGGCGTTCCGGGACGCAGCAACCGGGGGGTAGCTTCAACATTCTGGGCAGCGTTTATTGATATTTCGCTACTAGACGGGGCTGATGGATCCCCAGAGATGCTCCAGCGTTTACTTCTCMAGCACGGGGGGAGTCTTTTGGCACAGGCGTTCTTGCACTCGCACATCTGTGGGGCCAAAGCAGCCCCAGCCCAAAAGCAAATACCCGCGATGTCCCACTGTGGCATCTCACAGTCAACCAGCACCACCTTATTAAATCAAAATCACAGGAAGAGGGACAATAAATGCAAAGTCATTTTGATCAACACATGTAACAATTATGTGCAAGAGGAAAAAACCCAAAATTTAATAGAACATATTATTTTGATCCTTAAGATCAGATCTGTGGATGTTTTAAACTTCTTTTTTTTTTATTTTTATTTCCCCTCCTTTTCTCTCCAGCCCCCTTCCCCCA